ATTGGCCTGCTGTGTTCATCCAGCTCTACACCTTGTTATCTCAGATTCTCCAGCATCTGCAGTTCCTACTATCTCTGATGGGTCTAGGCCCAAAACGTCAGCTTTCCTGCTCCACTGATGCTGCTTGGCCTGCTGTGTTCATCCAGCTGTACACCTTGTTGTCTCAGTTTAAATGATATGTTCTTCTCATGACTTTGGCAGAGTGCAGTGTGTTAATGTTCCAAGAACGAAAAAACAATATAGATGGTAGGAGTTTTATGCCCAATTGCCCATCTCCTACAGCACCGCACAAAAATATCTCCGATAAGGCTTGTTCTTTCAAGTTTGAGCAGAAGTATATAGAAATTGTGTATCATCTGGTTTTCCTTTACAGATATTTCTCGACGAATTACGGTGGAGGTTGTGAGGATGCATTCCTGGTAATTGTAACAGTGAGATTAAAATCCACTGGCTCCAAAAGATAATTTAAAATAATCCACACCTACTCTTATCATTACTAATGTGATGTATGTCACACCTTTCTGATGATTTGAATTTTCAGATAATTGCTTATTTTGAATGCGGATAATACTACACATATTGGAGAAGACTTTTATTTATTAGAAGAACAAACCTAGAAAAGACTTAAATGTGAACACTAATGCAGAGATGCACCACAAGATTTGTATTTGGAAATAACGTTTATTTTATACTACGCCCTACTGTGTAGAGCACTATATTCTAGATTCCCTCCCCACCTAAGTGTGGATCACTATTGTGATGGAGTGGCCACCTCCTTGAAATAGAAGAATATGAAATAAGAGCAGTAATAAACCTTTCAGCCTCTCAAGCCTGCTCTACCATTCAATAAAATCTCGGCTGATTGGATACTCCACGTTTCTGCCTGTCCCCGAAAAGCTTTCACCCCTTTGATAATCATAAATTTATGATCACCTGAAAGATATTCATATATTCTATGTCTACCATTTTTGAGGACGAGAGTTCCAAAGACTCTGTCTTTTGAAAATAAATTTCTCCTCAATTAATTAATGTACACTAGAACCCTGTAAAACACCCAAGACCTTGCAGTGTCTGGATTATTTTGATGAAAATAGAAAACTTGTATTGCAGCAATTTTATATCTGCTTTAGATGGGCTGATTTGGCTTGTGGTGTAACTGTAGCGTGCTCTGTATGTGTGTAGGCTGGTGATCTGTGCTTCAATAACAAACGCGTTTGCTTGCAGCATTCACATTATGCAATACTGAAACAAGTTTTGCAAATGTATGTAAAGATGGCACGTGATTTTTTTTTTTTAAAAAAAGACATTATGTATAGTTGCAGATGGTATTAGCTCAGAATGTTGCCTAACTTGTCAGCTAGGGGTGAAGTAAGATTCTTTTGTTTGCCAAAGCAATTTGGTGTTATTTGTTCCCTGCATTTTAAGAAGCATTTTTAGGGCTTATTTCAAAGACATTTCAGGTTGAATAGAAATTACTACCTCAGTTTTATCGATCATTTTGACTGTGGCTCCTACTCCCAACTGTTTGAATTTCACCATCATTCTTTTCAGCATGTCTTGCTCATGTATTAAACTCTAACATAGTTGAAAACCATTCGTTATGATCTTCTGGCAGAAATTAAATGACTTCCTTTATCAGATAATTTCGTTGCTAGGGAAATGTTCTTATAAATACATCTAAATAAAATTGTGATTCCTGTATGACTCAACACTTTGCTACATAAAATTGAAGGCAGAACCTTTAGCGTGTATATTTCCTGTATATTTCCAATTACAATATATTTATTATTAATCAAATTGAGGTCTTGCTTTGAAGCTACTTTATTATGTCAGAAACTTCACTATTAAATTTTGTGTCCAGACAATTTGTACTCTCTGTATAGAGAGTCTTCACTGTTGAGATCCCCATGAAACTGAAGTTTTAATCAAATAAAATCAAAATCATTTGCAGATATTATTTAGTTGCTGTTATCTAATCTGCATTTTAGAACTTTTCTGTCTCTTAAAGCTTCCTTTCCATCATTTTCTTCTAATTAATAAAAAAAAATTAAAGCATTGAGATGATGCTGAATTATATTAACCACCTATTCTAGGTGTCTGAGCTCCTCCAAATCCTGTAGTGTACCACACCAAGTTGCTTTTAGTTAGCACCTTTTATGTAGTAAAAGATTCAAGATGCTTGACTGGATGAAATAGAAAGAGTTAATACCAAGCCAAAGGACATCAATACAGGTGTCAAAGGTTTGGCCAGAAAGATTGGTTTTTAAGATTGTCTTGATGTCAAACAGAATTGGTAGGACTTGAGGCAAATTCCAGAGCTTGGAACCCACCCAAATGAAACCAAAGAAACAGAGTTCATGGACCAGGTGTCGGAGAAAGAAGTGACACCAGGGAGGGATTTGAACACATGGGTAGGAATTTCAGTTTTGAACGAGAGGTGGACTAGGAACTAATTTAGCGAGCACAGGGGATGATGGGTAAACAAGACAGTGCAATTTGAATATGGTCAGCAGAGTTTTGGGGAGTTCAGTATTGGAGCAATGACATTGGGAGGCTGGCCACACGAGCAGCAAGGTAGTCAGATCTGGAAACAAAAAAGGTAAGGATGACCCTTTCGGAGACAGGTTAGTTAAGGTTGAAATAGGCAGTATTAGGAATAAGAAGTTCAGTTTAATGTCAGATGGAACAGTGATATTGCAAGCTATCTGAGCTTGAGACACTATCTTGAATTTGGGCAGAGTCAATAGCTAAAGTGTACAATTTGTCAGGGGTTGTAGGCAATAATTTTTATCTTCTCTGTTTAATTGGTGGAAATATTTTCTTATCTGGTGATGGATGTTGGACAAACTAGTTGACGAAACGCGGAGGGTTCAAAAGAGGTGGCATAGTGGTAGAGCTAGCTGCTGTCTATGTACATGTGGAATCTGATATAGTTTGAATGATGTCGCCATGTATGTAGATGAATAAAAGGAGGAAGGCAATTGTAACTTCAGTTTTTCATGGTTATAACCGTACTTTATCATGGTTTAAGTATCAGAGGCGTCTGATCCTAACCCTGCTAACCTCCTGCCTAGACTTGCAGGTGCAGAGGCCATTTTTCATGGTCATTTCAGTCAGTGGAGAATAAAGGGTTCTGAATAGGTTTCTAGCACTGGAGGAAATTAATGTGGTCTTGGTGCACAGTTGATCCAAGATGCTGTGATGCCAGCGAAGTCATTTGAAAGGAATTGTGTAGAATCATGCTTAAGAATGTGATGGAATTTGATGTGTAATTTTTATGTGTATAATAGGAAATGTGTTCAGCTTTTGAATATTATATGGTATGATTTAGCAAAGAGATGACCAGAGAAGGTGCTCTAGAGCTATCTTTCTTATTGAGTATATTAAAGCATTGAGTTATGAAGTTTTAACCCTAAGCTCTCAATTAGAATGTTGCTGCTGCTAACACTTGGGTTGGTTGATTGTAAGAGTCCTGAGTTAGCAAATTGTTTCAGTCTTCATAGATAACAGTTTGCAATTGCGGCTTGAACACTGTTGTCCAAGTTCTTGCTGATCTGTTGGTTCATTGAAGTGCAGAGATGGAATCTATTATCCCAATAAATTTTAGTTGGTTTGCAATTTCAAATTTTCTGCTATGTCCAGTTAGCTGTATAGATCATTACTGGAGTGTTACAACTCATTGTTTAGAATGGTTTTTGTGTGGGTAGTGGCACAGATTACAAATAGATGTCTTTTCCCCATCTCAGAATAGCCTCCCTTTCGAGCATCATGGCATGTAGCTGGTCCAAACGCACTGAAGGCAGCATTGGGTGAGTGTACCTCAGTCCCGTCTCATTGAAGTAGAAGAGACCAAGGATGGAATGCTTTGAAGCACATTTTGTAGGGATCAGTCAGTACTATAAGGTGCCACAAAATTCCCATTATTAATCTCACTCCATGTGCAAGATCTTTCTCATTTTTTTCATTTAAGGTAAATATTGATGTCTCAGCCTTTGTATAATGCTTTACAGATATGATTGTAAAGAACATTAGCGTTTTGTCCACATTCAGCTTGTCTACAACATTTTATCTTGTACAGTTTGTATCCTTACAAATGTGTGTTTACCATGCTCGACAAAGGGCAAGGGCACTGATGCTGGAGTCTTCAACTCGTTTTGCAGTGTATTTTAAATATTGGCTCCAAATTTACAACTGCTTCAAGAATATAACCATTCATAGCCAAATCAGAACTACCTCTGCATTCATCGGATATTGATGGAGTTGTGCAAATGGTCCATTTCACATAACTGACCCAAAATGTAATGCAGAACATGTCACATTTTCTAAGTGCAGGAAAGGTCAGTCAAACCTGACCTGTTTTATAAGTATTCTCAATCACATTCAGTACAGGGAGATATGGATGAAATATGATCTCTGTTATTGAACCTAATAAGATTTCAGCTTATTCAACTGTACTAGAATGGATACAGCATAAGATGACACCAGTATGAATACAGGCTGAGAAATCATTATAAATGTTTGAATATTCAGATGAATATGCATATGTAAAACTTTGTGGGTTAGGGAATAGGACAAGATTCTGCTTCATTTTTTACATTACAGGTCTGTGTTTAAGGGAAAATAAAGCTCGATGCATGGATATTGAAAAGTAGTTCAACATTTCCATGCTAAAAGTGGAGAAGATCAGGTGTATCTTTGTTCTTGTATTGCCTGGTGCTTTTCCCAATCATTTGCTGCAACTTGTTATCCTGCTTGTAATTTATGCATCCCACACAAGACTGCATTCTGGCTGCTGTATTTCCATGGACCCTTAATTTGCATTTTTTTGGTCTGAGTTAGTGTAGACCATGTCTGCAGTGATACTTGACATTTGTAGGTTTTGGCCTGGTTTCCATTTAATCTGTTTATGAAATCTTGATGCACGGTCTTCTGCTTTGATACTATTGCTGCTTTGTTCAAGACTGTACTGTCTGCATGGGGGTGGTGGGTAGTATTGCAGTGTTGTAACTTCTTTCCTTCAAATAGGAAATTAAAGGAGATATGTTATTTAAACTGAGATTCCTATACCACCATTTGAATTACGCTGGTTCAGTAAGTGAATAGATTCTTAATATATTCTTGGCATGCTATTCCGATAGATTATAGTCCATTGTCTAAAGACAGTAAATAAATTGATGGAAGAAAAAGGGATGTTAGCAGCTGGTACAGTTTGGTGGCACCTATCTCCAGCATGAGACAATGTGCAAAGAAACATTTGTGTTTGGAGTATTCGTTTTTATCCCAGTTTACGTATCAAGATTTTCTCTGAATTTGCTCAAGGAGGTGTACAACAGAAACTGCTCTTACCTTTCAACTGAGTGATAAGCTCAGTCAACACTGCTCCCTATCACTTCAGATAATATTGTCACCACTGTGATACTTACTGTGTATTAGGAGTGTCTGTGTGTTAGTTCAGATGTAAGTTGCCAATTTGTCTGCTTAAAGTCTGTAAAGTAGACTTAAGTACAAGTTCGTGGTTGGATCATAAATATCAAATACAGCAGTGCAGCAGGGGCTACCCTCCAGATTTGACTATTCCAAACTTGTTTTCAGTTAAATACTGAACAAAACCAAAAACATTATATTGTGGTTTGGTGCCACAGAATAAACAATATTTTGATTACCGTTTTACAGGGTAAAGAGAAATGAAGTAAGTTCAAACTTACTATTTCATCCACAATTCTTCAAATTGGTATGTTGACACAAAATGGCAAGGTGTGTGGCTACAGAAATACCTTATAGCATTTTTGTTGAGATGTTTGGAACTTTTAGCTAATCGTTATGTTATGGTTGTCACAAATTAGTGCCAGAGAAGCCAGTAAATGCTCGTCAAAAGACTAAAAATTATTTTTGTCAGAGATAATTACTGCAGGTCAGTATTTAAATATTTGTTGTACTTCAAGACTGACAGATATTTCAACAGAAATATGTTAGTGGATTTACTCTGGTTGTTAAATCAGGGCTTTCCAAAGTAAGGTCAGGAATCCACAGGATCTTGACCTGAAAGTTTGGGGTTGGGAGCTCCAAGGTAGCACTGAGTGCTGAGGACCTCTGCCCCCTTTCGCCTGCTCTCTCAGGCATCACCTTCTCTCATAGGTCATCCTGTTTCCTGGTTCTCACCAACATCTCTTGATATTCAGATTTTGAGATGGGGTCACAATCGGAGAGAAATTTGGCTTGCACTGTATTGGGTGTATACCGGTCACACCTGCTAATCCTGAAATGTAATAAATAATTAGAGTTGAGAGTAAATTGTGTCTTCAATAATATCAATAAATTCAATGAATAGCTAATACATCTTTTAAAAGTTTGTACTTGCATCTTTAGTTTTGGTACTGTATTTAAATGTTTTGTGTTGCCAATGACAGTATTTTCTTGGGTGGCATTTTAGGCTTTTTAAATTCTCAAAACATGAAATTGTTTGCAATTTTAAAATATAACATATTTAGTTTGAAATTTCAAAGTCCAGTTAGAGTAGGAAGTTCAGTTAAGTTTGTACTGCTCTCGATCCAGTATTCGAGTATACTTTGGTCTGTTCTGCTGTGACCAGCTTCATTCTTATACTCCTAATGCAAATGTATATTGTGTGTAGTGGAGTTACTGAAATCCATTTTGTTGGAATATCCTCATCTTTTAGAAAGCTACCTTTTGGTAAAAGGTAAGAGAGAATTTGGAATTTAGTGTTTTCTATTCAAAGTTGTTTCCTCCAGTTTTACCTGTCCGGAAATTAATTTCTGTGAAACCAAGGTGAAGATGCTTTGTTAATAATCCTGACCTTGAACACACATTACTTGTGTCTTTAGTGCTTCTCTGTTTTAATGCTTCTTTATTAGTTAAACTTTTCAGTGTGATGACCCTTTGCACTGTAAATTCTAGCAAAGGAATCCGCCCTGCTTAATAGTGGTTGCCAATCAAAAAACTAATATAATAGTTAGTGATATCCCCTGGTAAATGTAAATTTATGGCACATGTAGTTCATGCTAGAACTTTTGAAGTTTCGAGGGTTAATAGTGTGTATTTTCACTTGAGAGTACTATCGATCCCGGAGATTGAAGTGATTTCTACAGTTCAGAATATCATATATTACCAAGCCAGGTATGCAGTGAACAAAACCCAAATTTCAGCTTCCGCTGCCAGTGGCATGACTTGACCCCTGTTTTAACAACACCTTTCTTCATACAATTTTGGTGAGACTATTGCCATTGTTTTTGTTCCAACACCTTTGTGGTTTCTGAATTTGTATGTTTTGAAAAATCATTCAAAAGTCATTGTTAATAATGTTCCTCTGACATGCAACTTTTAGAAGACAATCCTTTGATTTGACCGTTGCTCACTAAGAATTGGGTTAAGGTGCTTCTGTTTAGTTTACTTATAAACCATATAGCGGACAGCAAGAAAACTATCAGCCACCAGTCAGGACTGGATTCGCACACATTTCAGAGTTGGAAAGTTTGAACATCTTACCCAGAGTTTTCTTAATGGATTTCCTAAAATGCATTTTTAAAAACTCAGTATCATCTAGTTTTATTTGCTTATATCATCTAATTGACAAAGTGTTATGCCATAAGCTTTTTGCTCTATCCCACATTTTCTGGCTTTCTTGTGTTTGTATTTGTATTCTGCATTACCCTAACAATGTATGTCAGTGATTGAACTTTAAGACTGAGCGGCTTATTGGTGCTGATACTGATAGGGCACTAATTTTTTCTCGTTTGCTTCTTCGGACAGATCCCAGCCCGGGTGACTTCCAGCGGCATCCATTCCACTGTTCCTCGATGAAAATAACTCACCATGGAGGGTGGACAATGCATGGCTGATGTCCCATTCTAACCTTGAAACTTGTGACCCCCCCTTTACAAAGTAAACCAACAAAATGAAGCTCTCGATGCCTTTAATTTAAATGCAGAAGGAAAACTTTTCTTAAAATGTTTTCTTTAAGAACACCTTCACAAGGAAATCTTTGCCTGACTGCAGTGTAAAATACAAGTTAAAAGATTGTGCCCGCTGCTTCAGTAGCAAGGGCTCTAAAGACGGTTTACAGAATTGACCGCATATAGAATAGATATCGCCATCCCTCTCCTTCCATGAGTGGCATTATGTAGCCTTTTATTACTCTACTGTACAACCGTAGACCTTTACTTGGTTTAAATATTTTGTAACAGCCTGCTAAAGTTGAAAGCAGAATCTATGTAGATAAGTAGATTGTTGTCCTGCTTTTATGTATGTGATGCTCTTATCGGTTTGAGAATTGAAATGAAGATTGATTGGTTGACTTGAAATCCCATAACAATAGGGTTGGCAATGGGTGTTTGTGAATTTAAAAGCAGCTGATTTTATTTAAAGCTTTCTCCAGTCTTTTGTATTAAACTTGAGTTTAAAAATGTTTTCTTCTTTGGTAGCACACTGTATCAATTAATGTTTTTGAATTATTATTTAGGTTGTTTGTGCACTTTTAACTTCCACATTTTATTTTTTTTATCATAATAAAAGCTGAATGATCATTGGTGCCAGTAGCCATTTTCTATCTTGTGGAAGAGGCTGCCAACGTATCAGGTGGAAGCAATGATGATTAAAATGGCAGTGCCAAAGTCCAACAGAAAATGTGACAGTAAAAATCAAAATGTGGAAGAATAAAGTTTAAAAAGTAATGGTAAAGCTGTGTTTTGGTGACAGTTATTTTTAAACTACAGCGTCTAAATAGTGTTAGGACCAGGTTTACTCTTTGAGTTCCCTGGCCTAAGGAGTTATAGCATCTCCATTAATCACTTAGGAGTAGAAAAGGCTTTTTAAACAAAAAGCTCCAAAGGACATGTACAGTAAAAATGTGAATTCTGCCATTAGCCTAGCGCGGCTAATGAATATATACATTCCAATGCGCATGCTTCAAGACATACTTCGTTATTTTAAAATGTTTACATGTGGTATTATTGAATCCAGATTGGAGGTGTTTATTGAAACCTGACTGGAATTCAGCCAAAAATCATAACTTGGTTGCTCTGTACATCTTCCAGGTAGCGCTCTTGAGGGAATGGAAGAACTCGGACATGTATATGTTTTATCAAATGCTTAGTTCATCTCCTTTTATCAATCACCCACACTTGCATTTCTCATCAGCGTCTTGGGAGGTAACATGAAAGGGCTGCTGGCTAAATGTCAGAAATGCCTTACTATTGATGCATGCGCACTGACATGTTGAACAGGAACACAGCTACAGCTAGCATTTACTGAATTAAGATTCTTTCCTTCATTTCAGTAGTTATGTGAGATTAATTTTGTAAATGTTTGTGGTTAAATTATTTTTTGTCCCCATAAGATTTGTTAGAGAAAACTTGAAGATAAATGTTTCCTTCTCACAGCCAATACATCAAACTGGTGGTGCCTCCAAGATATCGGACTCTTCCAATTTTTCTTTCAAGCAAGTGAACCACAGTGACCTTGGATGGCTGGTTTTCCCCTCTGTAGAATGTCTGTGTATATCCTGTGTAATGGTAACAGAATACTGGTAATCTGTTTGTATTGCAGCTGTATTTGTGTACTTTAAAAATGTAAATAAATTCATAATGACTTGTACTGGGTTCTCTCTATCGCTGTAAATTTCAGAGTTGGGGCATCTTTGTAATTAATGCATTGGATATTTGTTAATTTTTTACTTAACTTTAATGATCAGTAGCAAGAAAATTTGGAATGCATTCCACAAGTGCTCACTCAATGCGTAAGCCATTACTTGAAAGTAAATTGCGGGACATGGTTAGATTAAGTGGAATTGAGGCCAAACTAAGGTTTCTTGAAATGAAAACATAAAATGCTGGAGACAGAAGTAAAGTTAACATTGAGAGTCCAATATGAGTTCTGAATCAGATTCTTGAAATCAAAGTGAAGTCTCAATGTTAGCTCTGTTTCTCTCTTCACAGATGCTGTTGGTCTGCTGAGTTTTTCCAGCACTGTTTGTTTTCATTACAGATCTCCAGCACCTGCAGTACTTTGTTTTTTATGATCTTATTGCATGTGGAATAGATTCAATAGGCCAAATACCTACTCCTGTTTTAATATCTTATGAGCTTATGTCTTAATCTTCACCTGTTCATCCTCAATAAAGTTGGCAGCTGTTTCTCCCATTGAAGTTTGGAAGCAAATAGAATATGTGCTATTTTAACTCCCTTGCAATTATAGCATCAAGTCTTTTTGCATTCCAACGGAATTGTCCAGTTCTGAATACGTTTTGAATACATTCATAATAGGAAATTTGAACGGTTCCATTCAATCTCAAGGAAAACGTCCAGCATCTAAACTGGTTCTGAATGCAGAACGTGTCTCTGCACAGAATGGATGTTGGAAAATGTTTCAGTTAAAAGGTGAGTTAGCTGCCAAGCCACAATTTTAAACTGGTTTTCAGCTTTGTTACTGTTAAACAATAAGTTGCCTTATCTTTAAAAGTAATGTAACTAAAATTTGATTGCTGATCATGTGGATTTCCCTGGCTTGAATAATATTCACTTTCAGTTCCGTCAGCCTGGCTCCATTATATAGCTGTTTATCTAGTGACAGTTGTCAAGTTGAATTTGGATTTTTGTATGGTACCAAATATTTCCATAGATATTTTTATTTAAAAAAGGCAGTCATATTTTATTGGATTTCATTAATGTAATCTCAAACTTCTAATGAACAATAGCTTCAGTTGTTGTTACAGTTCACTAAAATGAGTTTGATTAGGAAAAACTTTACAGTGAAAACTTCAAAGTTTCAAACTGACCAGTTAGTTGATTACATGTTGTATGTTGATATGAGATGTACTATGGTGCATTGTTTATATTGTCTTTGTGATATAAAAAGTAAATTAAACGTTCTGCAATTAATATTTCATATATGATCACCAGCACAATCAAATCTTGGGGGCTACACTATATATTAATCTGGTTAATTAGTTTTTTCACTCTATATGGCAGCTGCAGGCTGATTAATTTGACAGGTTTTTTTGTCAACAATTGCCTTTTTGTTTTCTGTCAACTTCTTTTACATAATGCACTTGGTAATCTTCACTGGCTGAATTCATACCCTTTCATTTTCATCTTTTTGACTTCATGCTTGATAGTTAACTTAAGGTGCAGAGCGTAAACTGTAAAAATAATTTAAATATTGTCTTCCCTGTGTTGCAGTGATCTTGTCACATAATTATCTTGCAGAAAGGAATGCTAACTTGTGTGCAAACATTCCAGAACTTTATCATTTAATCATCTGGAAGTTATCTCTCATTTAAGATCAGGCTTGACATTTTTTCCAAAATGTGACACTCCTTTGGGCTATCTACTTAAGCCATTGCTCAAGTTCATTCAAACCATTCATCTCTTTGCAACCACTTTTGTATTAACTAGAATAAGTTAATGGACATTAAAACATTCACTCTTGGGAAAGGCAGTCAGGTTAAAATGGGTGAATTAGCATCTCTGGCTTTCTCAGTCTGTCCTCATGTAGAAGAATATTGGTTTTGCAGCGAGCCTTGCGATTTTACCTTTTAGTAACTTGATATATGTGTAAAGATGCAATGTTAGAATCCTCACAAGAAAGAACTGATGTAATGTAATGTATTTTTTTCTTTTGATAATGGAAATCCCACATACTGTCCACATCACACTGTGCAATTTCTGGATGATAATCTTACAATCATTCTCAACAAATCTTCACCACAACAATTCCGTTCATGAGGATGGATCAAGATGACTGTCATTTATGTTTGTTGGAGAACATTTGTAAAATACCATGCTATTAAAATATCAAAGACTGCATTTGTACAATACCATTCACATTCCAAAAGCATTTCACAATTAACCACTTTTAAAGTTTAGTCAAGGTGCATTAGAAATACAGTAGCCATTTTGTACATAGGAAGGTCCCACAAAGAGTGTTGGGATATATGACTAGTTATGTTTTTGTCAATGAGGGCTTTTGGAGAAGTCCCATGATGTTAGAATGTTGCCATGAGATCCTTTTATGCTCATCTGAACAAGTAGGTGGCCTCAGTTTGTTGTCTCATCTGAAAAACAGTGTGGCAAACACTTTGTCTACACTGCAGTTAAATGTCAGAAAAGATTGTGTAGTCAACTGAGTGGAGCTTGATTGTTCTGACTGAAAGGCTAGCTCCCAGTTCTCAGGCAGTTCATTTGCAAGCAAGATAGATGCTCAATAAACTGACATTTTTATCAGGTTGCCATCTTTTTTGTTAGCTAACAGTTTTTTGTTGTAAATAAAGCACACACTTCAAAATAGCATCCAGTAGGACAATTGTCTAGTTATTGTAAATGTTGTTTTTCACTTTTGAAATTATTGGACATAAGATTCATGCCTTTGAAGCAGCTGTTAAATGGTGCACTTACAGATTTAAAACTGGATTAATATCTGAGCACAAATTTGATGACAAATCAAAATATTAACTTTCAACTCTGCATTACTATTTGGATTGTCTGCTCACCAATTACTCTTGTTTTTACAGGGTTCGAAATCATATGACAGCATATTATAGTCCAACAGGTTTATTTGAAAGCACAACCTTTCAGAGCCTTGCGCATCTTTCATCTGTTAGTGACTGTTCGGCTTTAACCTGGTGTTGTGTGATTTCTGACCTTTTCCACTCCAGTCCCACACCAGTACCTCCACATCATATTTTCACAGGACTAAGTAGGGCAATTTCTACTAATGGGGTATTCTTTCCCTGCGGACTTTCATTTTCG